GTGCAGGTCCCCAAGGTGAGGGCTGAGTTCAGAGATTCCCAAAGTGTGGTCACTGACCAGTATTTTTTTTTTCTTTTTCTTTTCTCTCCCCCCCCCCTTTTCCTTTCTTTCTTTTTTTATTTTTCTTATTCCCCTCCCTGAATTCTTGAGCTGCCAAAAGGGGGGAAAAATCAAGAGCTGCTCTTAAAAGAAGTTGCCCTTGCTGGTGCTCAGGGTAAAAATAAAGACAGCCGCTTGGACAGGCTTGGCGCTGCCTCCCTGCAGGCGCCCCGGAGCTGGGCTCAGGCAGCGCGTTCCGGCGTGATCTCTGGGAGTCGCCAGCAGGTGCTGCTCAAGGTACAGTAGCAGGCCGAGGAGCCGGGGCCCAGGGCCTGGGTGCTGGGGACGCCAGGGGGAGGGGGCAGGAAGTGAAAGAGAAACCAAGCGGAGCAAAGAGAAAGGAGATGCTTGTCGGGAGCTGGACTGAGCAGCTCACGCCCAGATCACTTCCTTGAGTTCCACAAGGAAAAACCCCATTCTCCTGCAGGACTTTGCAGGGAAACTAAGTTAACCTCCCTCCTTCCTCCACCCCCGCACCCTGACCCTCACAGCTTAAGGAGGCTTTCCCGCTGTGGGGCTCTGGGCTGGAGGTCCCGCTGGAGCATGCCAGTAAGGCAGGTGTGCACCTCCCTGGCATCTTTTCTTTGCCCAGAGATGGTCTGAGAGTGGCTAATATGGACCCTGGAGTAAGGGGCTTCACATTACTGGGACATAGATGTTTATAAAGAAACACCAACCACTTCCTTATGAACTAACATCAAGGATCATCCTCTGAGTCCTGCTCTTGACCCTGTAGTTTTGTAGTATAGATCCCATTTTAGAGATGGGAAGACAGAGGCCCGAGTTTCCATGACAAGGAAGCAGGAACACTGAGGTGTGATCAATCTTGTTTTGTGTCCTGTACCCTATAATGTGGGACATGATAAGAATTTCATGGCACTAGGGTTCATACATGAGGCAAGGGGCCAGTAGATTTCTTAAAGGTCACTGCCCTACACTATCTCTTATTAAAAGATAAAGTACTCAATTTCTTTCTTATAGGGGTTTGAGTTCAAGCAGCTCTACAGTGCTAGGCAGTCTGGGAGTTCATGGTAGCTGATACTATTTCTGTCTTTGCCACTCATATTCCCTGTCTTCCTCTACAACCTACAACCAAATGACTTTATTTCCTACTTCAGTTCTGCATATGCAGTTCTTAGAATACTCCTCTCCTCCTCCCCCACACACAGCCAGCACCCACGCCTTCTCTTTAACAAGCCAAGAGAGTCCTTCTCCTGCAGCAAGCCTGGCTTTCCTACCTGCTGCAGCCCCACATCAGGAGGCCAGCGCCCGGAGATCTTGCTTGTGGGCACAGTGAAAAGTTTATTTTATGCATGTTAAATCCTGCATAGAAAACAACATATCTGGTCATATGGCTTTCATTAGCTCCCAAATTTGCACATTTTATCCAACTTGTCATGAGAGCCCGGCTCATGCTTCAACCCTACTCCTCCAAACAACCCCTCTCCACCGTTCTGGTCTGAGGAATCCTTCCTCTGTTACTTGCCCAATTTCCTAGTACCCTTCCCCCGAGAAACCTAGAGTTCTAACTTTACCCTTATTTCAAGGGTTTTTCATGAATCTCATATTTATGACATTTAGAAATCTGTGGGCTTAAAGCTCTGAGTAAAAATAATAATGCCTGTTTTTTAAAATATTTCATTGTTTTGCAAATTAGAATGGGACTGTAAAGACCTGGGATGGATGCTTCTGAGGTCACTGGCAGAGAATGAGTATTTCTCAAGTTCTCGGTGATACATGATTTATGAAGAAAGCATTCTATTTTAAGATGTAAACTAATAGTGTCTGTCAGGAGAGGGAAGACCATCCTCATATGGATGTATATATTTTTCCTATTTTTTTCCTCAGTGAAATAGCTCATTTAAAAATAAAATAAAATTAGAATGTTGTTAAGAACACTGCAAATGTTTTCCCTGTGTAAAACAATAAAATACTCTGGAAATAGAGGCAATTTCATGAAGTAACAGATGTTTTATATAAAGACATAAAACTGAACCTGAATATAATAAGAGGTATATGTGTGTGTGTGTGTGTGTGTGTGTGTGTGTGTGTGTGGTTAGTAGTAAGAGTTGAAAGTTGGACACTCACTGAGCTCAATCTATTTGATTCCAATATCTTCATGAAGGGTAGACTAGTCACAGCAGAGATGTCAGTGGCTCAGTGCATGACCCAGTAGTGTCTCAGAAGGCAAGAGGGATTTCCATTAGATAATGAATTATGAAATGTCTCACTCTGGAAAAACCAGTCATCGGCTGATGTCATGCTGATTCTAACCAATCCCAAACAAAGCCCCAGCCCTCCTCTTTTGAGAGGTACCAATGTGTTAGTGTACAAATAAGTAGTACAGTATAAAACTTCACAGTGCCAATACCATGAAGAGGAGCTCAGACAGTTCTTACCACATGACACAAGAGCCGGCTGGTGAAAGAGAAGCAAGCAAAAAGGTAATGCTCTTTAATTCTTACTTATGAGCTCTTTGCACATACCAAGTCAGATTGGCTGGGAAGAATTTTACAACTTATTGGCACTTCCCTGGGCATTGTGATTTGTACTTTTTGCCTATTATTCAGGCAGGTTAATACAGCTTTTAATAGTTCTAGAGAATGCAAATAGATTATGTGTTTATACAACCCACCCTGCTCATATATACAAGTACATATGCCACAGAGAAAGCTATTTTTAAGAGTTACATTTGCAAACAGTAAATTGTATGAAACACACACATATTCACATGCAGCGAGACTCCAAATATTGATAGGTTGCACTTTATCTCAATGATACTATTAGGACTCCTGAGTTCTTTGGAGTCATTAAACTTTTAGTTCTACTCAGACTCTCTCATAAAACTTAATTGGACTACAAAATTCTTTAGTTACTATATCTATGACTCTAATTAGGTGGTTGATGTTAAATGTTACAGCACAGAGATGTTTTATTAAAAATTACAATGCTTCCCGCATCCTTTCACCATCCCTTTTTTAAAGAGTCTTTCAGGTGGGATGGACAAAGTGTTACCAACAATAGCACAATTGCTGATGGTCTTGGACCTGAGACCCCAAGGCTGTTAGGCTTACAACAGAAAAAAAGTATTATGAATGTTTGTTTTTTAAAACAGGACAGTGTATACAGTGCAGAAAAAGTGCTGCTACCTGGACAAACTGTGATTTTACTTAGTGTCACAATTCTATATCTCTTCCTTTCTTGTGCTCACATCTTCTGCTCGCAGCAGTGCTATATTTTAACTCTTTGCACCCAAACTGCATGGCTTGACTGGAATGCTGTGAACATACTAGGTGTCAGATAAAAGCTGACTGTATCTACAGAAACCAAGAGGGCTTCTGTGTGGGAAAGAAACCGAGAGGGAAGAGAAGCTTTAACAGATGGACCCTTAAAGATACTTCTGCAAGATAAAAGCAATAAGACTGAAAATGAAAAAAAAAAAAAAAAAAGGAATGGGGGGAGGAATGAAAAAAAAGCTCCAGGCATTGTTTAAAAATGCACAATTTTCTTTTGCTGTGCACCCTAAAATCCATGATAGTCTCATCTGTGCTGGTCTTTTTTGAGGAAAGAAACAATCTAGGAAGCTCTAGGGGTACCTACTGGTCAAGACTGAGGAGGGGTCAAGCTGAAAAACTATCAGATGATAGATAAAAATAATTTGCCAATGCATTTTGGAGACTCCTTTCCCATAGGGCCAGTCATTCAAGGCACAAGAGCACACTCTTTTCACGAAAGAATATGGGAAAGGCTAAATGAATTTTGCATTTTATCTGTAAAGTCTGGGCAAGGGGTAATAGGTTGTAACTCCTGAATGCCATTTCCGCCTGGAAAGGGGCAGCGAGGGGGAGAAGATTGGCACCTCCTGTAACTTGGGCACGGAAAACGCCGCTTGCTCTTTAGATCTCTTAGTGCTCTGCTGTCCTGCCTAGCCGGGTAAAGTAGTGTATACTTTGACCCCCAAACAAAAAGTTCAGCTGAGCTCCCCTTAGAATCCTGCCCCGTTCTGGGGTAAGGACCCTGAACATTTAAATATGAATGAATGGGAAAAGGAGAGTCTCCTCCTGACTTCCCAAGCAGGATGAAAGACTGTCTGTGAGCCTCAGTCCCCTGCCCTCAAATACCTGTCGCCCAGCCCTACTGGCCAGGTGGACACTGCGCAGCCCAGGATCAGGGTAGGAACTGCTGGGGGTGGGGTGGGGGGCAGGCTTTCGCAAGCAAGTCAGCGCTTTGGATTGAGATTGTGCGTTTGGTTGAGATTTTTTTATTCCCCCTCCAAAAAAGGAAGAGGGTAAAGCAAAGGGACTGGGCAGAGAGAGAGAGAGAGAAAAAAAGAAGACAAACCAGAAGTGCACAAAATCAGGAGAATGCTTGATAGAAGGGAATGCGGAACCCTGGAGACGGGTGATATTGGAAGAGAGGTGTGTACAGAGCAGGAGCAGAGGGAGAGCAGCCTGTCAGAGACGGGCTGTCCCTCCCCTCCCTAATCACAGCCTTTACTCACAGACAAACTCCCTCCCTCTCCCATTCACTTACTCATTTAGGGCCAATTCTCCTCTCTCTCTCTCTCTCTCTCTCTCTCTCTCTCTCTCTCTCTCTCTCTCCATGTCCTATGCCCCC